TATTCTATTCTGTCAATAATTTTATGTATCAAATATGATTTTTGTAACTTAACTTAGTTTTCTTAAACCCTAACTTTATACATGCATCCTGGAAATCAAATTCCAATGCTTTTTTATCGTATTTTTCTTACTGTAAGTCCGTATCACTTCTTGCTCATCGTCTAGCTCACTTTTAACCAAAATACTCTCAACAATTAAATGCATCACAATTATTCTTATCACAAAAGAAAATTCAAATAAATGAAGATTTTATGCATGTCAATGACTTGCGTGGATTTTTTTTAAACAAAAGTAAATGAAAAGAGAATCCAAGAATTGGAAGAATGGAGAAAGTAAAAGGTTGAATTGTAAAGATAATAAAGGGCTGGTCCAAGCATACGTAATAGGCCACAACCAATTAAGCCGTCCGATTAAAAGGCATGTTTGTGTCATGAGCCGTCCGCAGAGTGGTGGTTTTACAAGGCTTCCTTTAAAAGCGTGCCGCATTGTGGCGGGTCCATCTTGGCTCCGCTTCATCCATTTTTCCTTTACAAACTTCCATTTTTCTTTTTTATTTTTTCAAATAATAAAACTTTTAATTATAAAAAAACCTTTACAAATAGAATTTAAATTTTAAATATTATTAATTTACAAAATAAATATCAACAGAGTATTAACTTAAATCATATATATGTTTGACAGAATTCTAAAAATTATAAATTTAAAAAATTTTAAACACGTAATATCCTCTTTAAATGAAATTAAGAATACATTAAAAATTAAAAAAAATTAAAAATATTAAACTTAAATATTTATATTTCAAGTTTTAAAGGAGAGTAAAATTTTACACATGAATATTAAAAGATTGATATATATATTTATTATATTAATTTATTAATATTTAAATAGAATTTAAAGAAATAAGGTAACATGTGATGTATAGGATGATAAATAAAATAAAATGATAGTCATCTTATATTATATTTGATTTGTATCTAAAAAATGATAGAATTATAAAAAAGATGAATCATTCTCCTACTATAGGATGATTCAATTTTTTTAAAGTAGAAAGAATTATTTTTAATTCATGAGATTAAACTTACATGTTCTATTATATCTTTAAAAATTATATTAATAATTTAAATTATTTAAATTTTAATAAAATATAATTTTGACTAATAAATAAATTATTATGTTATAATCCTTTTATATATCAAATATAAAATAAAATAATACTATTTAATTTAATTTTATTCATAATATTATTATATCTTATTTTATTATAATCTTATGCATTAAATATATGTATCAAACTTTCTAATTTTGTTGATGAAATTTGTGGAATATATATCATAAAATTTTCTTATATATCATTATTCTCTAAAGATAAAAAACTAGAAAATGAATATAATGCTATCTCTCTTAAAAGATATCTTGATTAGTGCTTAAAGAGTATTAAAGTCTAAGCCTTGTAACATCAAACCCCAAAAATAACAAAGTCTAAACCTTGTATTTTCCAAAAAAAAAAAAAGGAAAAACAATGAATGGGCCTCCTTTTTCACTGATTGGATGAGTTAGGCGGGCCATTATGTAAGAAATCATCATCGCATCCTTCATGGGGGACTTGCCAATGTGCTACCACCACACGCCTCTAGCAGGCGTGACAAAAACAATACCATTAAACTCATCAGTTGATAGCCTGTTTCCCTTGACAGTATATTGCACGCGTTGGTGAAATTGAGTGGGTGATGGGATTCGTTTCAGTTGGTTTGGGGGAGGGGAGGGGGGGAGGGAACTGGAAGTTTGTGTTCGTCGGAGGCTCGATCAATTAAAATTGGATTAAATACAAAAATTATCTTTGTATGTTTTCTATCAATTTAATATTTTAAAAATAAATTTCAATTAGATATTTAATTTTTTATTTATCATAAATTTTTTTACTAAAAATTATAACACGTGTCAAAACATTCAATTATCCTCACATTATCATGATCCCACTCGTATTAGTAAAAAATTTTCAAAAGTTTAAAAAATTTTCAAAAATTAAAAGAAATCTTATTTTTTAAAAAAGTTCAAAATATTTTTTAAAAATTTTAAAAAATCTACAAAAAAATTTAAAAAGACTGTAAACTCGATAATTTCTTAAAATTTCCAAAAAAAAGCTAAAAAAATAAAAACATTCCCAAAGATTTTAAAAAATAAGAAAATATTTAAAAAAGAAAAAAATAAAAAATAAATTCTAAAAAACTAATTTTTTTTTAAAAAATAAAAGTAAAAATTTTTAAAAATCCCAAAATCTAAAAACTATGAAAATTTAAAAAATTCTTAAAAAAGTAAAAAATGAAAATAATCCACAAAATTAAAGCAAAATTTTCAAAAATTAAAAAACAAATACTAAAAATTAGACTTGAAATTTTTTTTAAAAAATCTAAAATTTTTTTATAATAAATTCCAGAAAAATAAAATAATCTGAAAATTTTAAATGAAATATAAAGAAATTAAAAAACATATTCTTAAAAAATCCAAAAGAATTAAAAATATCCCAATAATTTTTTAAAATGAAAAGAAATCGTATTAAATGGAAATTTTTTTTAAAATATTTCAAAAGAATTACATAAAAGAAAAAATTATAAAATCTGAGAAAAATTGAAAAAAAGAAACGTGCAAGGCTAAACTTTATTTTTCATATTTATATATTGGTATTTTTCAAAATTCTTAGCACTTTAAAATTTCTAATTTTTAATTTTTAAAATTTTGGAATTTTTTAAACGTTTTCAAATTTTTTTTTTAATTTTGAGATTTTTTTAAATGTTTCATTTTTCTAAATTTAATTTTTTTGTATGTTTAAAAATATTAGGATTTTTTATTTTTTATAATTTTTTATTTCATATTTTTTGGCTTTTAAAATTTTTAAAAAATTTGTCATACTTTTGAATTTTTGGGACTTTTTTAAAATTTTAACTATTTTTAATTCTTTAATTTTTAATTTTTTTTGTTTTAATAATTTCTTTTTGAATTTTTTAAGGTTTTCAATTTTTTTTAAGTTTGGGATTTTAATAATTTTTAAATTTTTCAGAAAATTATTTTGAATTTTTAGAAAATGTTCAGATTTTTGTTTCTAAAATTTATGAACGTTTCAAAATTTTCTCTAAAATTTTTAATTTTTTAATTTCTCTTTTAATATTGATGCAGCAATAATGATGTGATGATGATTAGATGCTTTTTGACAAGTGTCATGATTTTATTGGTTATTGTTACAATGTCAACAATTTGGCTAAAAACATTAATTTGAGTATAAATGTATGATAGAATGAAAATTTAAATATCTAATTATATATTTTATTTTTTTGGCTATCCAAATAATAGAAATTGTATGATCCATGACCATTTTTGTATTTAAGCCATTAAAATTCAATATGAAAAATGAATCCAACGTTAGAAAACATATTTATATCTTAAATGATTATTAAATTATAATAAAATATTATTGTGATATTTAGATTTTAAAATTTTTTATTAATGTACTTTAATTATAAATTTTTTTAATTAAAATAATATTTATTTTTAATGTGATTAATTTCAAATGATAACATGTGACATAAAAATAAATTTTTAAATATCATATTAATTAATAAATTTATAATTTAAATATTATATTAAAAATTTTTAAAGTTAAAATATTGCATTAACTATTTTACTAGAACCATTTATGATATTAACACAAAACAAAAAAGGAATTTAATTGGGAAAATTTAATCCCCGGCAATATTGAATGAGATTTGGATTTGGATCAAAGCGTTCAGGCAACAACAGCAGCATTTCTTAAAAAGCACAGAAATATAACAAAATTTAATAGCTTTGGAAACAAGCTCTGCCTCTGTGGTCGAAATAAATTATCCTGGCACCGAGCCACCGTTACATAATCATAAAGCAAACACTTGAGACAGAGCCAGGTAAAATAACAGAGTAAAGATAAAAACTTTGATTAATGTAGATAGATTAGATGTGTTAGCCGTTGAAGCAAAGTTTGCAGGAGGGCTATAAAAAGCAAAGGTCTTTCGTTAGGTTGAGTCTCTCTTTGTGATCAGAACGACGTCTCAGTCGCTTTAGGTCTATAATTATCTCTTACCCACCAAAAGAAACTGAAGAACCCAAGAATCGAATCAGAAGTGGAATACACAGGGAATTTTGGGTTTAGTCACTGTCACTTTTTTCTTTCAAACTCCTTACTGTTGAGGTAGAGGAAATTTCAAAGCAAAAAAAAAAAAAAAAAAAAAGAAAAGAAAAAAAATAGAGTAACACTCTTTGATGCAACTGTAGTGTTACTATAAAATACTATATATATATCTTTATAGCAGTTGAATAGGAGTGAAAAAGTCTTTTGTTCAACAACTGCGAAGACATTGAGTAGGGAGGTGAGGCGAGGGAGGAGTGAGAGAGATTTATTCCTGCTTTTAAGGTATCGCCGTCTTTGGGTGCGGCGCCCTTTTTTCAGAAAACGTTGAGTGCATTAAATGAAGCTTTACTGTGTTAAAGTTTATTGACGAGAAGGGTCAAAGAAAGCTGAGATTTGAGGAAATTTTTGGTTGAGGATTTAAAGCTGTCTCTGCATTCTTAATGAGAATGCTTAAAAACTCTTATTGCAAATATAACTCTGCTCCTGTTAGTCTTGCTTTGTTTTCTATCCAGATTGAAAATACTAATCAAAGCTGTATTTTTTTTTTTTTTTTTTCCTCGAGTTAAAAGGAAAAAAAGGCGATAATCAACTCAGAGCAAAGCAGTCTTTAAATCACATTATTTTGTTCATTATCTTTGGTTATTTTCTTCGAATTTTTACAGAAAGAACAATTCTCAGAACAAGTGTTGTTAAAGTATGTACTGGGGGATTAGAGAATTTGGGAGGATTTCTTTCTCTTTGGTTTGGTTTGTGAAAAACATGTTAACATTCTTTTCTTTTTGTTCTCAACTCTCTTGACCTTTTCTTTATTTTTCTTTCCATATTCTTTTGGTGTATTTCTACGGAATGGAAGTTTTAGTTTATCTTTTTCTACGTTTCTGGAAGAAATGGCGGGAGTTTGGATCTGGGGTATTATTGACTTTCGGTTTCTTGGGGCTGCATCGTTTGAGTATAGTTTTTGTCTCACTAGATGTCTCTTTTATGTTTCAGATCTACCAAGATATAGACGTTGCCTCTAGAGAAAAACGAAGACAATGTTGCCTCAGAAGCAAGCAGAAGAAGCAATAGTCTCCAACTTTAGCGAGACGGAGCTTGAAACCAGAGATGAAGAAAAAGAAGAAGAAGAACAATCAATGTTTAGTGTTAAGAACCTCCTCTGGCATGGTGGCTCTGCTTGGGATGCCTGGTTCAGCTGCGCCTCCAATCAAGTACTCTCTGCAACACCCATTACCCAATTATCTTCAACTATCAGTTCGCCTCATCAATTTTCTCTTAAAGTGACAAAATTTGTTTCTTCCGTTTTTCTTATAGGTGGCGCAAGTGCTGTTGACACTGCCTTATTCCTTCTCTCAATTGGGTATGCTGTCAGGAATTCTGCTTCAGGTTTTCTATGGACTGATGGGAAGTTGGACTGCATATCTCATCAGTGTACTCTATATAGAGTATAGAAGCAGGAAGGAGAAAGAGAACGTCAGCTTCAAGAACCATGTCATCCAGGTTTGTGTAGCTTGTCAAGAAACTGGAAACCCATCACCACCAGTGATACCTAATCTTCCTTAGCATAACCCTAGAAAAAATATCTCGAAAGGATTGCTGTTGTCCAACAAATGCTCTTTTAGCGCTCTCCACTATACTAAAAAGTTACTACTAACTGTTTCGGATTGCAGTGGTTTGAAGTGCTTGACGGGCTGCTGGGTCCATACTGGAAGGCAGTTGGACTTGCCTTCAACTGTACTTTCCTCTTATTCGGATCTGTCATACAACTTATAGCTTGCGCAAGGCTAGTATCGATCTGTCTTCTTGATTTAACATCAAATTTAAGCAGAATCTGAAACTGGGTTTCATTATTTATTTATTTTTGGTTTTTTACTTGTTTGATAACAGTAATATTTACTACATCAATGACAAACTGGACAAGAGGACATGGACCTATATTTTTGGAGCTTGCTGCGCAACCACAGTTTTCATACCCTCCTTTCATAACTATCGTATTTGGTCTTTTATAGGCCTTGGGATGACCACCTATACGGCCTGGTACTTGGCCATAGCTGCCTTTGTTCACGGCCAGGTAAAAAAAGTAATGTTAAAATCAACAAATCGACGGCCGTGATCTTCCATGAAACAACCGTTTTCAATACATTTTATTTTCTCTTTACATATGATATTTTGTTGCTCAGGCTGAGGGCGTGACGCACAGCGGTCCAACAAAGCTAGTGCTCTACTTCACCGGAGCCACCAACATTCTCTACACCTTTGGCGGACATGCTGTGACTGTGTACGCTTTTTAATTTCTTCAAAACTTAGAAGAATAATAGTGACTTCACACTTCCCTTTCTCCTTTCTTTCTCTTGTTTCTACATGGCTTCTCTTTGCAGCTTTTGCCGGCCATCTTGGGGTTCGAGACCCAGACAAATTCATGCAAACTACTTTTGCTTGCTCGAAAACAAACATTACAATTCCCCCTTCTTTCTCCATTTCTCTAGGAAATTGAACAGTAAAATGGACATATGTTCCAACAATTTGCGAATTGTTTTTCTCTGTTACAGCTTGATCCCGATCTTAATCTAGTCGAGTCTCCTTTGTCTTTACCTTGTATCATAATTTCTCTATCATAGACTCAATAGTGCATAGTTCATTCACCCCCAAAAAAATACTAAAAAAATCCAAAGAACGTCAGTTGTTTCCCCCACCTGTTACTTGAGCATCCAATGGCTTGACGCCTTATAAGCATACTTCCTAATCAACTTATCATAAAGTATAAACAAACAAAAGTTAATTATGAACTTAATTACCTTTTTTTATCACCTTCTTTTTCTAGGTAAAATTTTGCTTGAAGGATTTTTTTTTTTCTTTTCCTTTCTTCAGGGAAATCATGCATGCAATGTGGAAGCCTCAAAAATTCAAGTACATATACTTGTTTGCCACATTGTACGTATTTACCCTAACCATTCCATCCGCTTCAGCCGTCTACTGGGCGTTCGGGGACCAGCTCCTCAACCATTCCAATGCCTTCTCTCTCCTCCCTAAGTCCGGTTTCCGTGACGCCGCCGTCATCTTAATGCTTATTCACCAGGTCTACTTTACTTTCAAGTATTTTTTACTAGATTGTTTTACTGCATGGTTAACATTTTTTAATCATTGCTTGCTAGGCATTTTAGGAGCAGTTTACCTCGTAAAGTACAAGTACTACTAGTATTTTAAGGCAACGACTTTGGTTCATTTGAATGTGTAATGATGCTTTTAATAGTAAAAAAAATTAACAGTGTGATTTCATGAAATGGTTGCAGTTTATAACATTTGGGTTTGCTTGTACGCCATTGTACTTCGTGTGGGAGAAAGTGATAGGGATGCATGACACAAGAAGCATTTGTTTGAGGGCGCTGGCAAGGCTGCCAGTGGTGATTCCTATCTGGTTCCTTGCGATCATCTTCCCATTCTTTGGGCCAATAAACTCTGCAGTTGGTGCTCTTTTGGTTAGCTTCACCGTCTACATCATCCCAGCTATGGCCCATATGCTCACCTACAGAAAAGCCTCAGCTCGACAGGTAGAAAATTTTTTTCGTTTTACTTTTTGCTTCACTTCACTGATACTAACCCTCTTTTTTAACAAAAGTTCATTAGGATCATTATCTTGTTGTCCCAATTGCCAGGAGAGCACTTTTGATCACTTTATATATGGTTCAAGCTGTAGTTATCTTTATTTGTTAGGGTTATGTTGGTCTTTAAAAATTAAGTGGGCACTGGCCGAAGGTTTGACGAGGATTCCCACATTCCACGGTATAGCTGTGGCCAAATTGTGTGGAGAGAGAGAGAGAGAGGGGTGGGGGTGAGTGTGCAGCAAATGTGCAAAAGCATTAAAGGCTTGGATATGGAAACAGTACGAGAACAATTGGATGGTTGGCATGTCTTTTTCATTTAGTTATATGCTACAGTGCAGTGTTGGACTCTGTCTGGATGAGCTGGCTGACTTGACTCTTTTCCTTCCGGTTTGGTCTCTAGCAGTTAGTCACATTTTTTGTCAACAAATGCCAACCCCAATTGACTGATTTGCTTGCCCAACTTTGTAAACTTAAAATCAATATCAAGTTCAACCCGATTGAATTTAGGGAGTTTAATTAATTTTGTGCTTCTCTTGACTCTCCTGAGCAGAATGCTGCAGAAAAGCCTCCATTCTTCATGCCAAGCTGGACTGCAATGTATGCTTTCAACGCCTTTATTGTGGTGTGGGTTCTGGTAGTTGGATTTGGGTTCGGTGGATGGGCTAGCATGACCAATTTCATCAAGCAAATTGACACTTTCGGGTTGTTTGCGAAGTGCTATCAATGCAAGCCTCCAACACCAGCAGGAGCATCAGCTGCACCGCACCATTGAGCTGACTCTTTATAAACAACCCAATCTGAAATTTAAACCCCCCCCCCCCCCTCCAAAAAAAGGAAAGACCAAAAAAAGAAACAAAACCCAAAAATGAATTCCCTGTTTTTCCTCTATATCTTGTATCATACATGGGGAGATAGCAATATCTTCCCTACATGTGATGTGTGCTGGATTTTGCCTTTTGTATGTCTATTTTTTTCTCTCTTTCTCTTAAATTAGTTTATAATTAAAAAATAGTGTGATGGATTGTGATGATTCCATCGCTATCAAAGCATGGGTCTAATTAAATCAGATAAAAGAGTATATGTTTAGCTTTCTCCCTCCTTTCTAATCCTTCTTTTGTTGAGATAATATAAAATCTTGCTTTCCTAAACAATTGTGATACCTTTGTGCAGTGCCAATTATTACTACCATCACGTTTCCGAAGTATAACTTATAAAAAAAAAAAAAAAATTGAATGGGTATGGGCGTATAATGTTTTTTTATTGAGACTCGGCTTGATTTCAAAGACTGCATTCGGACATGTTTTAATGGCCCTGTTGAGGCTATATTCTGTGGGCCGTGGACCCGTCCCACATTCACATGGGTTGCACTTCGGCTCATCTGTTTGTCGCGTGCCACTCTTTACTCCAAAATATTCCCTCCTTAAATTTCACATGTGAACAGACCATGCCAGCCCTAAATACATGATGCATCTTATCTCATGTGGTTTGTGCCTAATCAAAACCCTATAATTGTAATTGAATATACCTATCACATTTGGCCAACAAGGACTAAGGAAGTTTGGGGATACTGCTCTTACAGCTGATAGAATCCTACAAGTTATTACTGTTGATATCTAATTTAGATTATCTCTTCTGGTATAAATGTTATGTAATAATTGAAACATTAAGTTAGGAAGCTCTCCTTAGCCTTCAATGATTGTAAGATATGTTCTTTAGTAGTAGGTATTTTTTCATGCTTCTATTGGTAATAAAAATATTTCAATTATAAAAGAATCCTATAATTATAGTTAAATTAATTAATAATTTCCACATTTCTTCATTTGTGTTCATTTTTCTTTTTCTAGCTTGCTGGGTTCTTTAGATTTGTAAAGTGAAAATGTGTAAATGTCCCCATTTGACAGTGCGGACGGACTAATCAAAGTTTGATTAGAACTAATTAATGGAAAAGAGAATGGGAACAAGCATGATTAGGGGCTTTACCGGATTTCAGGTGGTCATTTGAACCAAGTCATAACCTGGTTTGGTATCGTTGGCTTCTTTTTTCTTAATAATTAGGTAAAGAAAGAATTGACACAATTTGTGATTCATGTGGGGAGGGTTGGTTCCTTTAAGATCTTGTTGGTATTGACCAAATCTAGCACATGCTTACTTCATTAACTGTGTGTACGATGCTGTTATATTTAAGTTTTCTAAGATATTATTCCAATCTCACAAAGTTGATGTTGATTGGAAAACAAAGCTTAGGATTCTATCTTCCTTTGTATCTATCTTTACTTGCTACTTATCTTTATGTTTTATATCCTCAGACAATCTTTATATATATATATATAAACTATATGACATTAATGAATGACAGTAATACTGGATTTAGATTATTATAAAAAACTAACAAGTCATTAACTTGTATCTTCATTTTATGGAGTCTAATTTTCTTGACAATGGGTCAAAAATCATTAAGACTAAAAGATAGCTGAAGTTTGGTTATAGGTTCACTCAAAGCTGTCAGTCTTAACTTGTAAGCAAAATTTTGCCTTCTGACCTCTTAGATTTCACTGCTTAGATTGAGTTCAAGTCTAATCTTTTTTTCTAGTTGACCATATTCAGAGCATTTTTATGGCAAATTAATATAATAATGCCAGCTTTAGCCTCTTAAACGAATTGTATCCTTCCTTGGCAAGGAACCTCGTCCATTGATTAAAGTGCCATGATTCCTACATGTTAGATTCAGAACCATCATTTGTTAACCAGCAACAAAATCTGTAAAACGAAAAAGAATAAAATGCTTCTGATAAAAGCATCCTTAAAAATGGATTAGATTAGGGTACTTATTAAAGGAAGATTACTACAATAAGCAAGCTCTTTGCTTAGATTAACATGCTATATTATATACATGTGAAAGCTGCAGTTTTAGAAGAATTAGTTAGATCCAAATCTTGTCTTCAAGTAGTTGGTATTTCAACTTTGTCAGGTTTTAAGGAGAGAGAAGAAAATGGATTTTGACTGTTTTATGAGTCTAAACGAATAAAGTATTATTGAGTAATGAGTTGTTCGAATTCGACTCAATAAATATTTAAGTTTGACCCATCGTTATCAGGCCGAATTACTCAACAACGAGTCAAGTATTTTAATATACAAACTTAAGAGAATTTTTATTTTTTTTTAAAATATTTTAATATTTACACACAAATAAATAACGAAAATATAATATTTAATATTTATATTTGTGATTTTATAAAGTTTAATCTAACTTATTAAGTCGAACTTAAACTCTTGGAGTAAATTTTGAATGGAGTTCAAATATAAAAAACAAAACTCCATCGAGTTTAAGTCTCAAATTTCTGAATGAAGCCGAGCACAAGCCTGACACTGGATTGACTCGACTGCATTCAGCCCTTACCTAGGAAATTTGCAAACCGGTAATCTCTGGCATGGACCTTACCTTCGAATTTCCTCTGCCAAGGACCTTACCTTCGAATTTCCTCTGCCAAGGTCAAATAATAGTGCAAAGGCCCAAAATTAAACAGGGCCTGGACAGACTAGTAAATGTTGGAATTGGGCTAAAACCTGGAGGCATATAACACCCATGATAAAAGGTGTGTGATTACCTTATCCTCAGAAACTCAAAAGAACCATGGCGTCACTGCTACTTGCAGCTGCTCCAGTACCTGCTCAATCTCTCAATCTTTCTTCGTTATCTCGTATTTCATCTTCTCATTCCCAAACCCTCGGAACTGCTGTCTCAGTTTCAACTTCCTCCCTTTCACTCTCCGCAGCTTCTTCTCCGTCAATCCCCTGTGGTAGCTAAAAGAACATCAACTTCTTATCTCCACTTTTTTCCTGGGTATCTTTTTTAAGATTACTAAATTTTGGTTTTTATTTGGTTTTCAGTGTACTGTGGCAAAGGGGATAAGAAAACAGAGAAAGGGAAGCGCTTTAATCACTCCTTTGGCAATGTAAGTGCTATTAACCCCATTTTTGGTGAAACTTGAAAGGTTGATAATGGAAATGGATTTTGATTTTCTTTTTTTATAAATAAAATTGAGTAGGCAAGGCCTAGGAACAAGAAGAAGGGGAGAGGGCCACCAAGAGTCCCGGTTCCTCCATCTCCACCGAGAAAAGATAAGTTTGATGATGATGAGAAGATCGAGATTGAAATTGATGAGTCTCTTTTTTCTAGCTAATAACTAGGCGACCATTATGGTTAATTTGTTTATTTCTCTTGTAATTCTTATACTCAAAAACTTGGGTATGCTGTATTTGCAGTTGTTAACACACTCTTTTATATGATTTCTTCTCTGCTATTGAGTTTTGGGTTCTTTTTTGTTGTATCAAGTTGGGAACTTGTGAAAATGAAACATGACAACAATCATTCTATGACAACTTTTGACTATAGAGATACAGAATTGTAGCAATAGTAGTCCCTTAAATGGGCAGTTTCTGTTGATTGTTCCACTGTTGGCAAATAGCACAGTAAGTTGAGATTAGTCTTTCCATCACACTTCATTCGTCGATCATTTAGTCTTTTGTTCAGTGGTTCCATAGGTGTGTCGCTTAAGTGCTTCTGTTTAGTTAAACCAACTTGTCTTCCACCCATTTCAATTCTGATCCTTTCTCGGGCTTCTTAAAAAATCTGGCTATTTTTATCCAATCCTTTGGATAAAAGGTTTTTAGGTTGCAAGATTGTAAGGTTATAGCCAGGTGCATTTTTTACTCGTTCAATCACTCTAGAAACCAGGTAAGGCCCACTGAACCCCCATTTACTTCCATCAAAGGTCATGGCAAATTCCTCTAAGAAGTCATGTAGAAGTGGATGGTCATTGTTGAAAATCATGGCAGCACCATTTATTCTGGTCCATTTCCGGGTGATCTTGTCTATGCTTTGTGCACCAATTGCATTCCTTAATCCCGTGAAATCTTTGAGAACAATGAAATCTACATCCAAGTAAACTCCTCCGTACTTGTACAGAATTGCAAGCCTTATCAGGTTGGAAAGATTACAAGGTAATGAAATATTTCCAGGGTGTCCTTACTCCCACTCTTAATCTTATCAACCCACCCTCAGCTGGGGTGTTCTTGACTAAAAAGGGCAAGTCTGGTGTGACTGGAAGAACTTTAAACCCACCATCAATTAGTGTTTTTAGAATCCTGTATCCTTGTGTGGAATCCAGTGATGGTGACAAAATCGTCAAGCATCGCTTAGGACTAGCTTTGAACAGACTGTCTAAAGCTGAAAATTCCCTTGGTCCAAGGGACTGAGCTGGTGAAAGCCATATCATGAAGTACCAAACAGCACAGTTAATGTCGAAGAAACCCAAAACCTGGTCGTGGAATTGCGAATTCAAGTTGTTTGATTTGAATAACTCCAGTTCTGGAAGTTTCTCCTGGAACCAAGCTATTCTTTCTTCTCTGGTGAGATAGAATGGAGGAACTAGAGGATCCAAGTTTTCACTGTCAACTCCTTACATCTTTCCTTGTGTGGTAATTAGCAGTGGTTTGACGCTAAAATTTGACCTGAATTGTCCTTTGCTTTTGGTTGGTGGTGCTATAAGAAAGTTATTTTTTGCAATAGAAAGATTAGAAGGATATTTTCATAGATGATAAAGAATACAACAGCCACTGAGAGGGTAAAGAACAATGATATGGAGAAGATTGGTAATTTGAAAGTAGGGAAAAATAGCTTGTAACTTTCTTCTGACACAAATTGCTCATGGCCATTAGAGTTAAATAGTGAACATTAACCTGAAAAGAGTCAGTCTCGAGGATGTTAGAAGACAAGAAATTTTTTATTCAATAGCTTTAGAAAATATTATACAGTAACTGAAGTGTCCTATTATACACAAGATTTTTTATTGAAGAAAAAATTTCACACGATATTGTAATCGTATCCTAATCTTCTTAAAAAAAAAATCTTATATGTAAATGTATCATAATTTTAAATAATATTTTAATTATAATATTATAATTTCTAATATTATAGTTAACTACATAATTACGTAATATTATAGAATATTATGAATTAATTTAATGGCATTCAGATAAATATGCCTGCATTTTATATGTACAATTACGACATTACAAGTGAACTACACGAAAATAAAGATCTGAATGGAATTATGCATACCGCCAGAATGTCGATCGATGATATCTTCATCTGTGCTCCACAACAATGAGATGCAGCACCTGAAATGATAAATCAGAGTACAGACCATCGTGAACCTTGACCTGCCTAATTTTGTCCGTAGAGAATTAAACAGGAAGGTTAATGATGCTCAGCAGGTTGCCAGGCCCTCAAGCTGCTTTTTAGAACAGCAAGCTGAATCTATTGAGGACGGTGTTTGTCAATAGTTGTGGAGTCATAGATAAACAATTATGGCAGTGGTTCTTTTGACTTCCATATTTCTGTTCCTGTTACAGTTTCGTGATTTAACAACGAGTTAATGTTATTATGTTGACGTGATGGTGTTTTTCACATAAAAAAAAAATAGAATATCAGAATTTCCTTTCATGCGATTACAAAAATGTGTTTAAAAATCAATTCTGGGTATGACATTTTATGACTTGTAACTGATACATGCACAGCTAATTGCTTTATATTTAACAGTTATGATTGTGATTACACCGGCAAGATTCCTTCTTGTACTTGGTTTTTGGATGAATGATACTTCACTGAACCTAAATTTAGAAAAACTAAAAGCTTTTTATCATCAAATTCTCATAATATTTTCCTTCCTCCGTTTAGATCTCCAAAATATGAGAAAAAGAATTAAGGGAACGGAAAGGACGTAAGAAATACGTAATTTGTTTCCAGTTAGCTTTTCTCTTCCATTCCTTTCATATATGCCTTTCACGTTGTCTCCAATATTATCTTCCATCAATAAAATATAAGGCGTGGGACATTCTGGCAGGGTAATCTATAGTAATCAGGATCCAGACTTTATCAAAGCATACTATCAGCATTTGTTTTGGCATTAAATCCAAGTGATTTAATCAAGAAACAGCAGTTTTAATTACAAACGTTTTTTAATTTTCGGAACAAGTTGTAACTATAAACGTTGATGCATGTGACACGATCTATATGCAGTCTCCAACTTCTTCAGATTTCTAAAACATTAATGCTGAAATAACTTTTGTTCCTCTAATATCCTGGTAAATTGGCATCTCAATGTCTATACTTGATGGACTAAGCTCAAACATACTGATACATTGAAAGATGAAATTAAAATTAATTTGGTAGAAAACTTTACACAATCTGTAATTTCTACCTATATATGTTCTGCATGTTTCTTATTGGGAAAGAAGCCTGGTTAGCGGTTATTCCACAAGCAGAGTCAGTGAAATATTTTCTTCATGCTCATGGAATGGGATGGGACGATTGAATAATTGCTAGATTTGTTGTCTTTGTTGGCTTATCGCATTATTTTGCCTAGAAGAGCTTGGTGCAATTTGGCGATATGGAAGACTGCTAATTGGGTTTTTGGAGCTACTCCCTAGCTTTTCAATGTTTGGATTCTGGATTTGCTCAGAGTGATGGACGGATTATTATTAAATTAAGCAATATCATTTGTATTTGACAAATAAAATAATACAAGAAGCGAATAAATTTCATATGCAGATCATGTTTTACAACAGGTATGTCCTAACAACTTCTCAGCAAATCAAAGAATTGTTTTGGTTCTACATTGGAAACACAAAATAAAAGAAACAAATTAGGTAGAAAATATAACACTTGATGGAAGACTTGCTTCTGGCCCTTGATGTCGTAACTTATTCATGCAACAAAGTATATTATATGAAATTGTTCATAAAAAATAGAGCCTTTTTTCTAGATTTGCTACTCCTGGTCGGGCAAATGGTTTCAGATAGATGGTTCAGTTTCAACCAATAATTAGAGGGGAAATTTTCTTCAAGGATCGTATATGTTCTCGCAAATATTACAGTGTTCTGCAATCAATCTTGCCATGACACTTCCCTCCTCTATCTTCAATTCTTTGCTTCTCTTGTTCCACAAGTGAACAACATAGCTTTCGCTGGTTATGTCAACCAGTGTATCATCTGCCCATTTTGAGTCTGCCTCTGTTTCTGGCTTCTTAAAAAGTTTGGCTATCTTAATCCAATCGACAGGATAAAAGGCCTTTGGCGGGAAAATTGTAATATTATATTCAGAGTTGTCTCCTAGTCTCTCTAGGACCCTGGAAACCAAGTACGGTCCATTGTGTCCCCATCTGTTTCCATTAAAAGTTGTGGCATATTCCTTTAAGAATTCCAGCAAAACAGGATGGTGGATGTCAAAGATCATAACTGCACCATTTAACCTGGTCCATTTTTTGGTTACTTGATTGATACTTTGTGCACCAATGGCATTCCTCAACCCTGATAAATCTTTCAAAAAAACGAAATCTGTGTCCAAGTAAACTCCTCCATACTTGTACAAAACTGCTAGCCTGATGAGATCAGAAAGATGATTGAATAAAGGAATTGAACCTGGGTCCATATTCCCATTCTTCAAGTCATCAAGCCAAGCTTCAGCTGGGGTATTCTTGACTAGAAAGGGCATGTCTGGTGTGACTGCTTGAACGTTAAATCCACGATCAAGAAGTGGTTTCAGTATCCTGTACCCTTTTGGGGTGTCCATGGACCTCGACAAAATCAGCAAGCATCCATCAGGTGTGGTGCTGAACAGACTATCAACTGCCAAGAACTCTCTAGGTCCAAAGGACTGCGCTGTTGAGAGCCACACCATGAAGAACTGAGCTGAACATTTGTTGTTGAACAACTCCAAAACCCGAACATGGAATTTCTCACTTAATTCATTTGATTGGAGAATTGCAAGTTCGGGTAGTTTTCTCCTGAACCATTCCATTCTTTCATCTACCGAGGCTTTGAAAGGAGGAATTAAAGGATCTTCATTCTCAGTTTCTTCTTCAATCTTTCTTTCCGGGTTGGTATCTGTAGCCCCTGGCACGCTATTTATACTCGTGGCAACTTGTCCTTCTCCTTCAACAAGTTGATTCGTCGTCGTCTGAGGAGATGGGAGAACCTCACCAGTCTTAATATTTGCAGTGTTAATGGAAAGATTAGACATTAGGCTGTCTGCATAAATAAAAAAAAGTATAGCAGCAAAGGAAATGGTGGAGAGGACAGGCGATTTCGCCATTCTGCTAATCAATCGGTAAGTGAATGACTTCTTCGACATTTTTCTGAATGGCCCAAGCATTGAAAGGACAGAGAAATTCTTTTGAGACATGCTCAGACAACCAAACTTGTACATACACATAATAATATATAAACAAATGGGATTGTGGTTTGTTGCTGATTTTGCAAATTGGTCGGGTTTGAAACAACATAAACGTGGTTGTGGTTATATATGTCATAATAGTAATGAATTGTTTAATATAAATCCATGATCTCAAGTAGAATTTTTTTGGATACATCAGAAATGGATTGATCCCAGTTCGACTTTCCAAATTGGCATAGGTGCAATATAATGCGAAAGTGATCGAAACATGCCTAGTTTCAGGTAGTTAATCATACCGTTAAGAGATGAGCAGTGATCTCATCGTCTTGGGTCCAAAGTTGGGAGCAATGAATTCTTCTTGAATTTATTGTTGATAGAATTTCTTCTTGAAATTATTATCATTAAGAAAACAACAAACCTATTGTATGTAAACATTGTTGATTGTTGAAAAACATGCTATTTGGTATTGAGGACATGATCAATCCTTCATCCTTATTTCCAATTAAGGAGAGTTGCTCTCAGTAATTATTTGCACTTTAAATGCATCCAAGTGATCAAAATCAATTAAATTTTTTATTTAATTTTGATGCATATGCCTGACATTTGTGACCAACTTGTATGCAAAATATATTCTAATGAAATTAAACTAGTAACTATAAATTTAAGTATGACATGACCAACTGATGTTAATTTGATCAAATTCCTAATACTAGAAAGACCTCACGAAAAAAACATTTAAAAAAAAAAATTTCCTTTATATGCTCATCAACGTCAACTTGCCTATTGGATAATCAGTGCTATAACTCCGTGATACATCACTAATTAGATATCACAACTTTATTTAAAAGTTAAAATTACAAGTAAATATTTGATAAATTATCAATATAATTTTTAATTTACAAGCGAAATTAAAAAATTGACATATCTTTTATTTAATTTTTTTTATTTTTAAACATATCCTAAAAATATGTCATTTTACTAGTTCTAAAAATGTGTCATTTTACTAGTCCTATTTGTGGAGTTTAAAATCTTCACTAATAGTGATGAAATAATTTTTTTAAAATTAAGAGTTTAATTCATTCATTACTTTTAAAAGTTAAATATTAGATATAACTAATTACCTTATTGTGCTTCAATGTAAATAAGAACTTTGTTTTAATTCATTCATTATTGATTGATTTTGGATAAGCAACATTTTAGATTATGATCGAAGATAACCCGAAAAAAGGATGAAGAGAACCCTTATTTCATCAATTCAGGACGTTAACAATGAAAGTATCATGACGGATAATCCAGTATCAGAAATCTTTGTACTGGTCTCCATCTTCATTCATCATCTTCCCTGTCTTCATCAGCAGCTTCCAGTTCCTCACTTTCTTCTCCTTGCAGAAGTAGCAGTTTATTAAAATTGACGAACAGTGGAACTAAGTCTCTGAAGTGATTTTTTGACATGGAACATGCTAGTTAGTTTACCCATTTTAGGATGTAAATGGGTTCTTTGTTGAGGTGAAGAAGCGTTGCAAACAAGCAAAACAAGATATGCCAAGAAACGACGAAGAGGAAACTTGGAGCAGACCTTAAAGTATTGAGTGCAGTGGTAGGAGGCGATAGGTGATGAAGTAAGGTTGAGTAGAAAAAAAAAAAAAAGGCTTAGAGAAGGATTTAGGAAGAGAGTTTGAGAGAAAGTGGTGAGAAATCTATCAAAGTCCAAAAGCCCTCATAAATTGTGAAAACTCTTATTTATAAGTTTTAAGAATAAGAGTTGTATATATTAAGTATTGAATAGAAATAATGGTGAATAATATGAAAGTTGGCTCTTCCAAAAGTTATTAATGTATTGTTAATGAGAGTTTAACTACTTTTTTGATAATCGATGTAGACATCTATTTGTGTCCAGGACTAATTGAGATCGATTTTTTATAGTATAGTATGTTATTATATATTATTATTATTATAGTATAGCATATTATATTATATTATATTATATTGTTTTTTATTACTATTATATTATATTATATTATTATAGTATATGATATTATATTATTATTATTATTATTTTTTTAATTTGTTTTTATTCTTCCTTCCTTTTCTTGTTCAATCGGTGACAAGAATTTTGGAAATTCGAAATTTTGAATAAGTTAGATTAGAATCTCGTAGTCAAAAGTTTTTTCATGCAGAATCAAGTTAGAATAAATTGTTGAATTCAATTGGGATCAAATCAGAGATCTAAGATTATGCTTAGGCAGAACCTAATCCCAAGATTCAAGCTTGGATTGATTATGTCCGTATCGTAACATATAAATCTGTGGACCTACCACTAAACATGTGTAAGAGGAGTCGCTACCAATCTTTTTATGTTTAAGTGTAATTGGTCACCTAAAACATATTCTAATCCACAAAACTAGATGTTAAGTTCAGGAGTCGGTTACGCATAAGAAATGTTATAGCACCCCCACAACGTCGATCCAAAGGATGGTATCAGTTTGATTTCAAATTATCCAAGCCTTAATCATACTTGTAACTTATCAAATTAATTTAATATTAAAAATTAGTCTTAAAATCGTTTCAATAATTTGGTAGCAATTTAAGATAATTTTTTCACCTCATGAGTATTCATAGAGACTAGTATCTCATTCTAAAGAGGCTCCGTCGTCAGATTTATTAATTTATTTTATTCAAAAAAAAATAAAGTCTCCCAATAGTTTAATATGACTTAATTTGAATTAATCTTCTAATAATTTAGAGGATAAAAATTATTTATTATTTATTTGTTTTTACTTTTTTGAAAATTGATTTATGAAATTTTTCAATATTTTGGTGGATTCCATTTTAAAAATTAAATCCATGAAAATTTTATAATAGTTTGGTAGAATTCATGAATTTATTTTGTAAGGATTTTTATTTGAAAAAGATTCTTATTTTTTATTTACTGAAAGGATTTTTCCTTTTTTTTTACAAATATTTTTTTTTGAAAACTTAAAAAGATTTTTTTTTTAATTTTATCTTGAAAATTTATTTGAAAAGTTTTTTTTTGTTTTTTTTGCATTTTTCCAGAAAGAAAAGACTTTTTTTTTTTTTATAAAGATTGAATTACTCAATAAAATTAATAAAGGCCAGTAAAATAAAATAGAATAAAAAAATTTAAAATAAAACAAAATTTAAAATATGAAAATAAATAAAAGTAAAAAAAATACAAATGGAAAAGAAAAACCTTGCAATTAGGTCGGGTCAGGACATGAGTTGACACGGGGGTCAACGGGTCGAGGTGCAGATCTTACGTTATCAAAATGACACCGTTTTGGGACAGTATATAAACCAAGTCCCAATGTTTTTTCTCAAAATCTCTTTTCTTTCTCTAGACCAAGAAGCTCTGACTTCTCTTTAGGATTTCTCGAGAAACCCATCGAAACTTCAATCGAAAACTGAAAATTCCATCAATTTCTAAAAAAGTTACTGAAATTTAACCGAAAATTGAAAAACCCACTGATTTCTAGAAAACTGGTTGAAAAATGGCCAGAAAATTCAATCTTTCGTCGAAAAACTCATCGAAAAATTCATAGTTTATCCAAAAATCCAGATTTTTCCAAAAAATCTCAAAAATCTAAAAATTTTTCTAGATTCTTCGAATTTTGCCCAGATTTTTCAAGAAATTTCCCAGAAGCCTAAACTCAATCCCATAAACCTAAATCTAATCCCAGAATTTTTCAAACAAACCTAGAATCAAAAATCAAAATCCAAAAACTCCCATTCTGCCCAGAATCTTTCAAAACACCTATTCTCTCAAAAATCAACTGTTTTCTCAAAAATCTACTGTGTTTTTGTTCTGTGATTTCTTGTCCAATTTATAGGCCTCTTAGGATAGATATTTAAGAAATGGATAGAATCAATCCTAGGCTTGAATCTTAGGATAAGATTTTGCTCGAACCTCAATATATGTCTAGGTTCATTGCTGATTTCTTAGGTTGACTTGAAAACCCTTTGATTAGGAATTAAACCCCTTTAACTGCATTGAATCTCTGATTGATCACTGGTTAGGAAAGAAAAATTGAATAATAATAATAATAATACAATAATAATAATAATAATAATAATAATATATAATACTATACTATAATACTAAGCTATACTATAATAATAATAATACAATAATAATAACAATAATAATGATAATAATGATAAGCATATTATACTATAGTATAAATAATACTAATAATAAAAAAAATAATAGTAATAATAATGATGAAAATCGACCTCGGACATAGATGGATGTTTACAACTGTCCCTCTTTGCACATTACTGTTAGATAGAGATGATGCAAAGACCTAGATACCCACTTTGTTCGAGTTAAATCAGTGAGTGAAAATGATCGAGGACGATGCCATAAGTCTGGAAGTGACCAAGATCGAGTCAAGGTAGAAGATTAAATGACCGGGACGAAACCACAAGTCATAAGGAATGATTTGGACTGAGCCAAGATCGGGTGACTGGGACAAAATCATGAGTCATAAGGAATGACCTAGATTGAGCCAAGATCGGGTGATCGAGATGAAATCACAAATAAAAAAAAAGCGACCATGACCGAGTCGAAGTCAAAAATAAATGATTGGGACGAAACCACGAGTCATAAGAAATAATCTGGATTAAGCCAAAATCAAGTGATCGAAACGAAACCACGAGTCAAAAAAAAGTTACCATAATTGAGTCGAGGTCAAAAATGAATGATCGAGATGAAACCATGAGTCATGAAAGATGATCTGGATTGAGCTAAGATCGGATAACCAGGGTGAAATTATGAGTCTAGAAGATAAAGCAACTAGGATCGAGTCAAGGTTAAAGGTAAATGAACAAGATGAAATCACAAGTCATATGAAATGATCTGGATTGATCCAAGATCAAGTGT